TGGTGAGGTTGCGTCGCACGCGCTAAGGGCCATGCCAAGCTTGGAGCTTCTGGAGCTCATCGTCGTCAACAGCGGGTGCCTCCAGCTGCAACACCACACTCTCTCGGTACTCGTCCCACGCCGCACGCCACATCTACGGTTCTCGCTACCAAACCACGGCGTGAATATATAGAACCCTGCGGCTCGACCTCCTCTTGTAACCTTCCACACCCACTTTACACCCCACGTTCCCGCCTTCAACATGTTCCGCAACAACTACGACAACGACTCGGTCACGTTCTCACCACAAGGCCGCATCTTCCAGGTGGAATATGCACAGGAAGCGGTCAAGCAGGGTTCCGTCGTCGTCGGAATCGTCAGCAAGACCCATGCAGTACTCGCCGCAATCAAGGTAATTACTCACGCTCTCTCTACTATACCAACAATCCCTAATAGACTACTAGCGAAATGCCGAAGAACTCTCTTCCTACCAGAAGAAGATCATCACCATCGATTCGCACTTCGGTGTCGCGCTCGCCGGTCTCGCCTCGGACGCCCGTGTGCTCTCCAACTTCATGAAGCAACAATCACTGGCATCCCGCCTCACCTACGACCGCGCCATTCCCCTGTCCGAAATTACCTCTCGCATCGCCGACCGCGCCCAGACCAACACCCAGCAATACGGACGGAGACCCTACGGTGTGGGACTGTTGATTGCCGGTGTCGACGCAAAGGGCCCGCATCTGTTCGAGTTCCAGCCCAGCGGTGTCACACAGGAGATGGTTGCATGTGGTATTGGTGCTAGGAGTCAAATGGCGAGGACGTACCTCGAGAGGCATCTGGACGACTTCGAGGGCGCTAGCAGGGAGGAGTTGATCAAGCACGCACTGAGGGCGCTGAAGGAGTCGCTGTCACAAGACAAGGAGCTGACTGTCGACAACACCAGCGTCGGCATCAGCGGTATTGGCGAGGACTTTGTGCACCACGAAGGCCAGGATGTCGCGGAGTGGCTGGACGCTACCTTTGAGAACAGGGAAGGCGGCGACGATAACGCCGAGGGCGGAGAGGCCATGGAGTTGTAGGGAAGCGTGCAGTTTGCAACACTTAGTATAGCCACTTGACGAGAGACTGTAGATCATGATGTAGCCGCCTGGCTATGAAAATATAATGAACACGATTACGAATTCCTGTATGACTTTGGAGTGCTCAGTGACAGCTTGGAGGTACTCAGTGTCTTTTATAGCTGCTTTCCATCAAGTAAAATATCATGCATCCGCCAGGGTACATTTTACCCAAAAGGCTTCCCGTACCTGATATGTGCACGTGATCTGCAGCTCCGAGCCGCATGCGCGAAATCTCGCCGGAGCTCAGCAACTTCAACACCTGCACCCGCAACCCAAACCCCGTCCACACCCACGAACCCGCACTCTACCATCACAATGGCATTCGCGTGGAAAGCCGCCGGTCTCACGTACGCCCGTCCACTCCTGCCGCCGCTGCAGCCCCAGATTTGGACCCGCCATTGACTGTTGAACAGCTACAACCGCTACATCGCCGTCGCATCGCGCGTCGTGCGCCGCTCGCTCAAGGAGGACAAGCGCATCGCTGCCGAGCGAAGGGGCGAGAGCGAACTCCGCTTCGCCAAGTGGGAGGTGAGTCAGGATGATGGGATGGGATGGATTGAGGAAGTTGAGCTGGGCTAACGGAATGGGCAGAACGGCAAGCAGGGCGAGCTGAAGGAGCTCAACGCTGCGGCGCTCCAGGCACAGGCCGATGCTGCCAAGACCTCGTAAAGCAATTGAGAGAAAGGGACATGGCATAGACACGATGGAGTGGCATGGACAACGGAGGAGCGATGACGCTTGGGGAGGATAGACGTATAAGCTGTACTATCAAGCTGGAGCGGAATCAAAGTCGATGCACACCAACAATTGAGCCGACATTCACTCTCCCCAGTAATCCAATGCGCTCGTGAAGTAGAAGTGAGATCACGGTCGTGACTACCAGTAATGTTGCCGCTTGCCTCGGACGCGCGCCTGTCCAACTCGGCTGTCACAAATCTTCCCGCATCAGCATCGACTCCACCACAACATGGCAGATGCGTCTAGCAGCCACAGCACAGCCCCCACCCCGGATCATGACACAGGTGTAGCTGTTGACGGGGCTGGTAATTGTTTCTTTACTTTCTGCGCAGAGCAGTCGATGCTGATGATGCACAGGCCCCTCACATGCGCAAGAGTCTGCGCCTACCATCTCGGCCTCTACTTCCGCTAATTTACCCTTGAGACAATCGAGAAATCCGGTCGCGGGGACGCAGCCAAAGATTCATGATGTGACGGAGAAGTTTACGAGAGCTTGTAATGGTGAGTTGCGATCTCAGGTACATGGAGGGGCATGGCGGGGCTGCCTCGTCATGTCGTACTCTGGTGGTAGCGACGATATGTTCAGGCAACATGGACTGACAACATTCAGCTCTCGAAGTCGGTCAACTCGTCAAAGATGAATACTTTACGCTGTTTGAGTCCATCGGGGCCATCGAGGTACGCCGCTCTCGTTTCACGAATCAGATTCTATTTCTTACATGCAACAGATCATGGACCCCAAAATGGACAGCGGCTTCCTCCAGCCCGGAGAAACCCTAGAAGACGACTACGATACTCTGGCTCCCCTTCTACCTGAGGAACTGATAGGCATCATGGACCAACTTCTCTGCTACGAAATGGCCTGGCATACCGGCTACCCGTTATCCCAGACTCTCTTCACTTCTTTGCACATCGATAAGCTGCTCTGGCCCGAGACTAAGATCCTCGAGCAGGCGCAGTTCTACCGTGGGGAAATCCTGCATGAGAGACGACCTGGATCGTTGCTGGAGGTACTAAGAGCGTATTGCCTGGCGTTGATCAAAGGGTGTGACTTTGTGATTGCGAAGATTACGGGGAGGGATTACTTTGAAGAGGAGGACTTTTGCACGCATACGTACAATCGGGTGTTGTTTGTTAGTGTGCCGATGGATGTGTTTTTGAGGGAGTTGGATGCGGCGATGGAGACGATTGAGGAGTATGCTTCACCGCGGACTGGACAGTCGATGGCCTGCTGACACATTGTAGTCCCGACTTTGAGATCAACGATGCGCTTCGGAAGGCAATCAGTTCACGATTAGAGCTCCGGAAAGACTTCCTTCGCGCCCTTGACTTGGATCTACCGCTCGACCAGATATCCTATTCATGGCCACCAATACTTCAAGGTATCGACTCGTTGAAGAACACCCACCAGCTTGGGAAGACTGTGCCTGGTGCTTTCAGTCCGAAGATGCAACGCCGTCTCGCCTCCACAGTTCCCCCGCGACCGGTGGTAGAACTCGACTTCAAGGACGCGCTGGAGAAGCTACATCAGATAGCTACTGATTGCGCAGAAGCCACGCGCTTCCCCGCTCTACCCCAGGACCCCCTCGAATACCAGTCCTTCTTATGGCATTTCTCCGCTCGCTCACCCCCACCTCTAACATACGCCCGCTCATACCTGGCAACTCTACTCTTCCACCCCGACGTCCTCAACGCCTCCGTCTCCCTCCCTCTCGTCGACGTAAAGACACTCGTCTTCCCGTCTTCACCCGTCATAGACCCCATCAACTGGACAATGTCACCCCCGCGCAATGCTCTCATGCCCAAACCCCCACGCCTCCAATTCGCAATGCTCATCGACGAATTCGTAGACCGCGCCGGCCAAGCGTACCTCGATCTCTGGGTCGCCATGGGCCAGAATCGCTGCCGACTGAGACGCATGTTGACGCACGTCATCACAGGCTGGGACCTCCTACAAGCTGACGCAAGCTCAATCGACATGGACATTTCCTCCGCGGCTGCCACTCTCGGTCAGAGTGCCCAAGTGATGGAGTTCTCCCTCTCTACCTGGGTCTACCACAAGAAGCTGTGGATGATAGAAAAGGTCATCTTACTCGGTTTCGAACAGGACATCTACCTGCCGGATGAGTATGCGGGCATGTACCTCTTCCTCTCGCTCATCGCTACACGACGGAAAGAGTTGCTAAAGAGGGTGGAAGCACACTACCTCAGTATCTCAACCGAGCTTCTAAAATCGCGACGGTTCAGAGAGGTCCAAGACGTGGAGGAAGCGTCGCCTTTCCTCGACTCCTTGCTCGCTGAGACGGAGGGAACGGCGTCGTTGGCCTTGGCTCTCGCCCGCTTCTACGTAATCTGCGGCTATCTAGGTAAATTGCCCATGCCCCGCCGCACTCCCTTTTCCACAGAAAAGCTCCGGTACGAACTCAGGATGAAACCTTTCCTCGCTTTGCAACCGCCTGAAGCACCGCCTTTTGACGACTTCAAAGCGTATAGCCAGCCTTACGGACCGGTGCCGTCTGCTTCCGAGCCACCACCGGAGGCTTTTGTCAAAGACATCCAAGATAAAGACTCGCAGCTCTGGCAAGAAGTAGACGACCGCATCAAGGCGGCGAAAGCAGCGTTTGCTGAGTACAAGAGATTGGGTGTTGCGACGGCGAAGGCGGAGGGTGTCAAGCCGAGTTGGGAGGATGAGGTTAAGAGGATGGTGGCGAGTTGTGTGAGTCTGGGACTGGCGATTAAGGAGATCAAGGATCTTGTTACTGGCGTGCGTGGTGGGAAGGAGGAGGGGGAGGGGAGGGGGGATGTTGGTATAGGGTTCAAAGTGGAGATTCCGGAGGCGGGTACGGGGAAGAGGTATGCTGAGGGGTGGATTGTTGGTAAGGTGGTTAGGGATTGAGGTGGTGGAGATGGATTGAGGGTGCTGGACGTATGCGGAGGTTGGGATGGCGATGGAGGGTCGGTAGATGGGTTAGTGTGGATGTTGTGATAGACTGGAATAAGCCCAAAAGAGTTATTTGGTCACACAGTTGAGGTTTAGCGGATTGAGTGATGTCTACTTGTTCACTACGAAAATCTCTGTGTATCTGCTGCAGTAAATGTTGTCTCCTAGCCTACATGTATTTGTCATGCTTTCAGCCCATACAAAAGGAAGGGTTTGGATCACGATACCGTCCAGCGAGCGAGAAGCTCCTGAACAATGTCTTGTCCATTATCCTCCGCAGGCTGTGAAGGCTTCTGTGTCGTTTCAGGATAGTAAGGCATACTATCTTCCCACGGATGTGGAGACGAAGAATATTCAACAACGCTGGGAGGCTCGTCGTCCGGCTCGTCGTCCGATTCGTCGTCCGCATCGGCCAATGTTATCGTTGAAGGGGCCGGGTTCTCGGCACTCGATAAATCCGTTATTGGATAGAAATCAGGATCAGGTTCAGGTGTGACAGACTCCTCTCCAGGCTTGAAGGCAGCCGTGGAGGACTTTCCGCTGTACCCTAAAAAGGAACTCTTGCGTTTCGAACCCACTAGGTACTTGAAACGAGCCTCAGGGACTTCTTTTCTGAGTATTTCACCGGCTTGTTCGCTACGTCCGGTACTAGGCATGTGATTGAGATCGGGGGTCGAAGAAGCAGGAGGTGTAAGTAGTGGTGATGACGGTTTATATGGAGAAAGCAGTGCGGTGCCACCCGATAAACCCGGGACACCCGCTGGGATTTTAGCTTCCTTTATCTCCATTTTGAAGATCCACTTGAGTGTTTCAACGTTCAATGTACCGAATACACTGGATACACTGATGTTGCGTTGCAAGCGGACATACGCTATTTCCCAGATCTTTTCTGGAGTTGTTTCTTTGATCATGGTCTGTTGCTCTCGAGTGAGCTCTGACATTGCAATATGTGGATCTTTGCCTTCGTCGGTGTAAGTTTTGACCAGTTTCTCGAGTGAGGCGTGAGGTAGCTCCATCTCATCTAACAAAAGTGAGTCGCCGTGACCTGTTGTGAGTCCCTGAAGATAAGTGGTAGCAAATCCCGAATAGAAGCAGATTACATCCTCATCGGCTGAAGCGGTTGTCTCTTGTGGTCTCATGTCATGTCGCTGGGCTACTACCATCGACTCGAATGATGGGGTAGAAGGTGTGGATATTTGGGGAATGGGTTGATCTGAAGGGTGCGACCCCCCCGATGAACTCGGGCTTGGGGCCATTACTCTTCGTGACACTGGTATACCACTTGGTCTTGAACGCGAACTGGCTTGGACTGGCTCGCTTGGTTCAAGAGATGGATGCGATCTGAGAGGAAATTCTGCCGCTCGAGCTTGTGTATCACTGACGGAGGCCAGAGACACGTTTGCGAGGCTTATACCGCTGCTAGGTAACGAGATTCCTCTACCTCTATCGCTCGAAGGTGAAGTGAACTTTTTCAACGCTGGTGGGCTAGACAGAAAGGCTTTTGTCGAATTTGCCGTCTCAAACGTAGGATTTTGCTTGGATGCCATGCCCTTATCGGTATCAACACCCAAGATAGAGAGTTCATGTGAGTCCTGTCCCTCACTTCGAGCAATCGTGAAAGATTGTTGAGGTTGTGTTTTGACCGTGCTCGCCCGGTGCAGCTGCACAATCGTGGATCCAAGATCCAGTCGCTCCGTATCATGTATCGGTCGCTGTCGTCCATCTCGCTGAGCAAGCGCAAGACTGGCCACAGCAATCATCAAGACAAGATTTCCTTTCGCATCTCGCAAATCGTTGCGGAGTTCGTCGAACTGTGGCTGCAAGAACGGCCATTTGGCTTGTTCGAACCGAGATAGCTTGATGTTCGAACGCAGCGCGGGGCGCTTTCCCACTTGCTCAAATGCGCGACGCAAAAGAGCTTCAATGTCCGTGAAAGAAGCCCGGCAACGACGGAGAGCGTGCGAGATGTCGTTGAGGGCGACGGAGTTGAAGACTGATTTCAGCGTGCCTTGCGCATCAGGCTGAGGTATGATGAGTTCGCGCACTTGGTTGAGGATAGCGCATGTGCTGCTAATATCGTCTGCGATGCTTGTGACTCTTTGACTCGCTGTCGCGACCTTTTCGGCGAGTGCGTACAGCTTGACACAGGCTTGTACGCCAGCTGCGGTGATGCCGACCACGGATCCCGCGATGCTGAGAGGATCTGCCATTCTGAGCTTTCGAAGCAGTAATTGTGTCTACTCAATCAGTAAAATCATCATCCATGCGCGGGAAGAGGATAGAAGCCAGAACCATGAGTTTGTAGCTGATAAGATTGCGAAGGCTGAGATGTGCGTCTTGGGGGCGCAGCCGGCTTACTCGATATCGCGTGCAGCTCACCCTGTTCATTCAATACGCGAGACAGACGCCGTGCAGTCTACATTAACATGGAAAGCGGATGTTAGCAGGATATTACCGCAGTCAGACTCTTAGATCATTGGCTTTGGTTGTATCCTCTATGGGCGGGCTTTCGATATGTCCCTCGAATAGGGTGGGCTCATCATGCCGGCAGATGGCCGCATGGTGGTACCTAGGTGGTAGCACAGCTCAGCTCAGCCTCATTCAAAAGAGATCTTCAATTTTCAAGGCTCATGGTGCGGTCACCGCTCGTTCTTGTTGTCAAAGTCTAGTGCCCAGGGTGTTGGATGTCTCCAGGAGCCGGTGTAGACCCTGCCAATCTACCCCGCCCCACTTCAGCTTCGCACGACGCCAACCCATGTCTCTCAGAAGGATGCACCTCGACCCCCCAACGGAATAGCCACGCCACTGCTGACATGATCATGTTATCTCCCACTCCTTCGCTGCTGCCAGCACACTATCTGCGAATTTCCATCGCGACCACCTCTTGTGGCAATTTGATCAACTTCCTTCCACTGCTTCTACAACATGCACCTTCTACGGCGTGACGCCGACGGCGAGTTCAGCCTTGCTGACTATGACGACAGACAGCTGCCGCCCTACGCGATACTGTCACACACCTGGGGTTCCGATAACGATGAAGTGTCCTTCAAAGACATCGTGAAAGGCAGAGGCAAAGAAAAGCAAGGCTATGCCAAACTACACTTTTGCGCCAACGTAGCTGCCAATGATGGCCTGGAATATTTTTGGGTGACCTGACGATGTTCTCCATCCTTCGCGCATCGCATCGGCTAATATCTATTAGGTGGATACGTGCTGCATTGATAAGAAAGATAGCGTGGAACTCTCGAAAGCGATCAACTCCATGTTCTCGTGGTATCAACATTCAACTCGATGTTACGTCTATCTTTCAGATGTGACAGCCCCGCCTCGAACGCCTTGGAAGACGGCGTTCCAGAAGAGCAAATGGTTCACCAGAGGCTGGACTTTACAGGAACTACTCGCTCCATCTTCCGTGGAGTTCTATACCGTTGATGGGGAGCGCCTAGGTGATAAGCGAACACTGTCGCAGGTTATCCATCAAGCTACAGCTATTCCTTCGCGAGCTTTGGAAACATCCCCGCTGCGTCTTTCAAATTTCAGTATAGAAGAGCGCATGTCCTGGGCAGCTGGACGGGAAACCAAACGGGAGGAGGACGCAATCTACTCTCTACTTGGCCTCTTCGACGTACACATGCCACCTATCTATGGTGAAGGCAAAGCAAATGCATTCGATCGCCTCGAATTGGAGATGCAACGAAAGCTAGCACTTGATAGTTCACGCAAAAGGACCGCCGAGGAGGCCTTTGAAACCACGCTACAGGAAGGAAGCAATTCAAAGCTGAAACAGTCTGCAAGCGACAGGGCGCAAGAGCATTCAGTGGCAATGCAGGACTGGTGGGCTGAAGCCATGGCCAGGAATATGGGGACACCCAGAGGCTATGCAAAAGTCGCTGTATTGCTCTTGAGATGGGCAGATGAATTGGATGATTTACGAACCAGTGTCGAAGTAAGTGGTTTCAGATTTAAATCAAATTCTGTATTTTTGAGCTCCCTCGCATGAGGGCTCTTTGATTTTCGGAAGAGACAGAACACTATGGTTCTAACAGGATCGCAGGTGAGGGAGCTCGAAAATGTCTTCCGGGACCGTTTCCATTTCGAGACGGACGTTGCTGAACTCAGCCACCGAAGCAAACCACAACATCAAATGGATCGAGTCTTAACCACGTTCGTTGAGAACCACGATCACCCTCATAACTTGTTGATCGTGTTCTATACAGGCCATGCTGTCCACTATAAGAATGCCAGTAGACTCGAGTTTTTACCGTCCTTAGAATCATCAACGGCTCGTGGCACTTCCACTAGTGGTCAGATAAACTGGTACAAGACGGAAGACTACCTCCGCTCGGACGAAATCGACGGAGACGTTCTTGCAATACTAGACGCAACGTATGCGAGTAACGGCAATACAGGTCATGTACCCGAGGACGTCAGCAACTCCAACTACAGGGACCAAGAGACTACTCGGCGTTTTCAGTTGATGAACGGCTGTGGTCAGATACCTCCTGGCCGTTTGTCGTTCACGCGCAGGTTGATTGACGGGTTGAAAGAGCTTCACGAACGTACCAACAACTCCGCGTTTTCAACTCAGGACCTTCATCAGTGCATTGAGATGAGACCCCCAGGCACAAGCCCTGAACTATGGTCTTTGCTACCAGACAAGCGCCATATTCCTTTAACACCGATGGTCCAATTAGGGCTCGATGCGAGAGTACCCCAGCAGCACCGTAAGCGCCCTGGACGAGGATACCTGAAGCTCGGTCTCGAAATTAGGGATGCGTCTTTGGAACAGGAACAGGTAGATTATCTTGCAAAGGTTTTGTCGAGAGCATTGGACAAACAGTTCATAGGCCTTCGCGGGATTGATTGGCTTGGGTTCGAGCGTCGTGAAAAGGAATTTATCTCCTTCTCCGAAAACCTTGCCTTGAAACTGAGGGTAATTGGGAAGTGGAAAAGGCTTATAGCAAAGAGGAAAGCAGGAAGTGCCTCTGCCGTTCATCAAGCCCTTCTTTCGTAGCAGAGTCAAGTTTAGCGAATCTGAGCTTGTGAGTGGCGTGAACTAAACACCCATATGTTGCAGTCTCCGTACACTGTGCGGTTTGCGACGCACGACTTGATGAAAGGCATCGCATTGATCTAGAAGCGCGCAGCGAAGTAATAGTGTATGCGTTCTTGTGAGTTGAAAATTAGAGAGATTCAGCCGGAAGGGACGAACGACTTGCGCCCAGTCGTAACCCGCAAGCAGCCCAGGCAATCGAAACGTGAGCAACTCTGCCAAATGCGTCGCGATTTAATCCTCGTTGTTGTATCCTCAACTCGTTGGTGATGTAAAACACTCGCCAAAGATGAAGAGCCCTTGATCTCCAAAAATGTTCCCCGTCAACCGCGATGACCTTGTCGTACCTACGTACCAGCATAACTGCGCTCTTCATGATTTCGAGCTTGTGACGCTATGAACAGCTATCTGACTTTCGTGAGCTCATGATTGTAAACGTGTATAGTAATCACACAGTTCTGTGCTGATCGTATTGCAGTAGTTGACTTTAGCGGCAGCACAAACACGCGCAGTCAATACAAACGTTCCTTATCGTCGAAAGCTTGTACGTCGCATGCCAGCGGAGGCTCATCCGACAAGTGAAATACGTAGCTTTTTCTCGAAACTCAGATAATGGCGAATTGGTTTTGAGGCGTTGAGCCAGCCAGCACATGAGCGTCTTGATTGCCGTGTAGCCGGTCTCTAGGGTTAGAATACCGAGCTGAAGGCTAAGGCGATTCTTCTGGCGTTTGTAGACCGCCTTGCGTCTTGACAAATGTATCGTTGTTTATTCCCGAATCATCGACTATGATGTTAGCATCCAAGCCGGTATCATCCAGCGCCTATTGTGTCAGTTCGCGCTTCACATGTTCTCTCAGCAACGTGATTCGAGTGGCGCGGTCAGTATATAGCGAAATTGTGCTTGTTCACAGCATTCTCACATGCATGGCGACCGAAATGGCGAGATGCAGACGACATCAAGAAGATAAAGTTCTGGCAGACGTGGAATGGTGTGTTAATGCGAGGTGACATGTTGGTTCGAAGGTCTGTGACTCTCTAAGTATTGACCAGTGACTGCAGATCAGGGGCCGACGATCGTTGTGCTGGAGCTCCGAGACTGCTCAGAAGACGTTGGCTTGTGCTTGAACTATTCGTTCGGGTCAGCTTCATGCGGGGCGCCTCACCCCGTCTCGCTTACCTAGAAAGTGTCAATCGCAAAGATGCCAAAGATGCCATATGTCGATCCAACGGCGAACCCATCTTCGTGCAGGATCTGGGAAGACCCTGGCTATACATACCAGAGCTATTGAAACGTGAAGGTGCCAGAGGCGCGGTACTGCAAGATGGGAACAGCAATCGACATGCGTGCCACAACGCAGCCCACGTTACAGCTAGGATACGCACGCTACTCCTGCATCGTTGAGGAGGTTCGGAGATCTGCGTGGCTAGTAAAGATACCACAGTCTATGGCTGGTGTTCGGGTCAGCTCTCACGGTATCATTGCTGCGGTCTCGAACTAGACTAGTGCGCCAAGAAGACGATTTGGCGCTATCGACCCGTTCCGGCTGAGATCACGTTTCACGAGATGCTTCCGAGGTTCCGGCATCCTCCTCCTAACCCAGGCATCCACTTGCTTGCAAGCACTCTACATTGCAAAATCATGACGCACTTCTACAAAACTTCTTTCATATTGCGCAACAGATCACAAATCAACTGATGTCGCATGGGCTCCGTGTTCGTCTGGCTGCATCGCTGACGTAGCGCAAACCTTCTAACCGACCCTGTCCGGGCACACCTCAGCTGTAGGATTTCCAAGGTTCTGTCGCACCCCGCGTTATGCCGCTGCCAGCACAATATCTGCACGGGATCACGGTTCCTGAGGCAGTACTCGAGTTTGAAACGGACGTTACCTCATGAATGATCCTTCAGCAAATCTTTCCCACGCGAACGACACACGCTGCATTGCCTGGTATGCCAAAATGGCATATGCATCGCAATGTTGTGTGACGCCTGATCGGTAACAAGACTCAGCAGTACACTCAGCGGGCCTGTGTTAGGCGAGATGATCTCGCACGGTGTTTACGACGCACAAGAGTTTGACTACAGCTGCGAGGCCTTCCGCGCCTGTTGAGCACACTTCGGACACGATAGAGTCGTGGCATCGCGTGGCGTGGCGTTGTGCCTCATCAGTACACCAGAGTTTCCTTAAACCCGCGGTCTACAACACGGACAAAGGCGGCCCGCCTTACAAGCACTTTACGATGCATATTTCTAATCAGTTATTTGGAGGGCCTGTCTTGAACGGCGGACCAGAGCGCACCAGGATGGTACGCGGTAAGGCAGCTAACGATGATAGAGTTTGAAGTCCGATCCGCAGGGATGCTTCCGAACATCAAGACTCGCCATTCTCTGCTTTAGTGTCGCACTAGGTCTACGGGCAGATTACACCACACAAATTAGCCGGTATTTGGTGGCTTTCGTGCATGACGCTACCAGCTTCGAGTGGTACCCTGTTCAGTATTCCGTGCTGGTGTACCCCTCAGCATGTGAAGATATCATCTTGACGCGGACGCACAACTTCACCAGCCAGTACCGGAGGCGGAAAGATTTGCTGAGCATACGGCCAATGAACAACAATGCTACTCGACCGTACAAGAAACAGTCGCAGTATGCTCACGCCGAAAGCTTCGTGCTTGGGTCTCGCCTGATCATGAAAGCCATTCGTACGGACTTAGCCAGCCTGGTCATTCAGCAACGGACGTCGTGTATTCGACCAAGACGATTTCTTGTGTAACATCGGGTGCGCCACGCGAAAGCTCGTTCGTCAAAGCACCTGCATGATCTTCACCCGGTGAACCGAGGGACGAGTTCCTGGTTTGGGAGACGTTCATTCGGTTGACGGCAAAGATCAGCATCCGCCATGAGAAACGCATGGACTGCATCATGCAAGTGAGTTCGTATGTCGTCTTGCTCACTGCAGCGGTTCGCCATGAAATACGCCCCTCGAATCTGGACTATTTGCGTGTCCCGTGAGGAGTGTCTAGTCTCATTGGCCGGAGCCAACTTCTTGCCGTCCGCTAAGTCTAGCTTCTTCGTTAGGCACAGCATCTCCCCAGATCTTCCCTACCGCTGCTTCCAGGGTCATGTTTATCCATCGGTTTTGAGTTTCGGATACCTCCTCAAACGACGTAGCATCCCGGTTCTGTGTGAACTGGCGCACTAGCCCGTGCAGCCTGCAGTGCAGGTACCTCTGGGCGCAGTGCCTGACACATGTACTCTTCCACACACAGGGAACCGCGAATACATATGTAAAGGATTGCCTTGGTCGCCTCATCGTACCTGTCCGACACATCGACAAGCAACGTGTGGCATCCTCTGTACCTTTTTGCAACCACCATGGATCCTTTAACACCCGAACAGTCGGCTGCCTTGGCCAAGGACGATCGGGGTCCACTCACCAAGTCTATCGTCGTTGCCTTTACATGCATCGCAGTGATATGCGTTGGCCTACGTCTCTTCACTCGGCTTCGATACTTGGGACGAGCATTAGGATGGGAAGACTACACCATCGTAGTCTCCATGGCTCTCTCCATTGCCACCGGCATACTTCAGGTCATGCAAGCAAACGCCGGCAACGGCAAACACGCCCCCCTCATCGAGTTCCCTACCGGAGTTGAAATCATCTTGAAGGTGAGGAACCATCCTCTCTTCATACTATCAAGCTAATGTATCCCAGTACCTGTTCTGGAGTATCATTTGCTACAACGCCAGCCTCATGTTCACCAAAGTGTCTATTCTTCTGCAGTACGGCCGAATCTTCACTGTGCGAGAGATGCGCATCCCTCTCCACATCGTTATGGCCATTTGCATCCTTTGGGGTGTATCTACGATCATCACTTCGATCTTCACATGCGTCCCTATCCACGCTTACTGGAAAATCCTTGAGCAGCCGACTTCGAAGTGTATCGACAACAAGACGTGAGTGCTACCAACTTGCTCAGCCTTACGATGCGCAATGCTAATTTGGTAATAGGATTTGGTATGTGAACGCTAGCATCAACATCGTAACCGATCTTCTCGTCGCCTTCCTTCCCGTTCGAGTCATCTGGACCCTGCAAATCGCCATGCGTCAGAAGGTTGCTCTCCTCGCCATCCTTACTATCGGTTGGTTCGTGTGTGTCGTGTCGATCCTTCGGCTCCACGCCCTCGTCGTCCTGGTCGCACATCCCGACGACAACACTTATTACAGTGCACCAACAGCCTACTGGTCCGCTATCGAGATGAACCTTGCTATTGTGTGCGCATCACTCCCTGCACTTAAGCCACTGGTCGTCAAAATCATTCCCGGCTTCTCTTCATCGCTCAACGCCAGCAGAGCAATCTACGGAAATGGCACGGGAACTGGAGCCAGCACGAAGCAAATTGGTGTCAGAAGCACAGCAAGACGCATGGACGACGATTTTGAATTGGGTCGACCAGGTAGCACGACACCATACCAGACAACTTCTGAAGAAGGAGGCATGTATGGCAAGAACATATACGTTTCGCGACATTTCGAGCAACATTTCGAACAGAGCTCGCGCATCAGCGACAGCGAGAGCCAGAAGGATCTCGTCGCGGAGCCAAATTCGGTACTTCACTGAGCGACTGTTACATAGAATTTGACATCTTTCTTCCGAAACTTGCTGATGCATGAACCCGTCTCCTCTCCTCTCCACTTCCCGGTCTGATGTTGAAAGCTCTCAACGGAACAGCGCACGGTGCCTCGCGACGTGCCGCCTGCCAGGGAATGCATCTCGGTTATCATCTCCTGAGCCCGCAGGCGCAGTGCGCAAAACGCCTCTTTCCTATACCCACCACTCGTTCATACAGTCGAACTCCGCCGCGCGCTGAATGGCTAATGCCAGTCTTGGCCTCCACTATTAGCCGTGATCATGGACGCGGGCGAGAATGCAGCGCCACCCGCCGGAAGGCTTCAATTTGATATCCTTCGAGTATAGCACCAAGGCCCAAGGGGTTCTTGATTAG